TTTTTTTTTTCCTCCTATTTGGAATGTCTGGATAATTTTAGTAACTGTGGGGTCTGTAATCTATTTAATGTATTCAAGCTACATCATGTTATAAGAATGTGGGTTTTCTATGAGCCTGGCCTACTTTTCCACCTCTTGTAGCAAATTCATGTACTATGTTGGACCCAAATCAGCAGGTGGGCGACAGTGGAAATACATGCCTTCTGGGTTGCTAAAATACCAGCTTCTAAACAAATGGAAATCTGGCAATGCACTAGCTTCTTAGCTGCTTTAGATTAGCCATGAAAAATGAAATTTCTCATGTCCTTTCATGCACATGTGTGTGCTGTACTCTGCTAAGGTGGTTGTCTGTGTACAGTACATGATGCAAACTCTCTTTAAAAGAACACTTCAAGTCGGCGAATCGGTTGCGCTCTTGGATAAATTAAATTTCAGTTAATTACCTTCTTAATCAACTGCTTATTTATTAAGCTGCTTAAAATTTGTTGGCTTATTGTAAGCCCAAGCAAATTGTCCTTTTACTGTATACTTTTACATAAAAGAATAAAGTAGAGGATGCTGAAAATTCACTTGTGAAGCTTCTGTATGCTCTTTAATGCCCTAACCAAGCCAGTATCACAGGAATGTTCTGCCCTTTGATAGAGAACACTCCCTAGAATTGCCTCATCACTTGAAACCTGAGCTCAGGCAGGAAATGTACAACTTACTCCCTCCACAGACCGGAGAGGTAAGTGGAGTTTCATTGCACAAGTTCTGTCCTTCTCCAGTTGCTGTAGCAGCACGTGCTTTGGATTGTTAATTCAAGTGTCTAAATATTACATGCCTAGCAGAAGATGCTGAAAAATTATAAGCAGAAACCTTCTTCATATGCAAAGACTAATGCCATTTAAATCCAATTTAAATAATCCACTTGCATATATAGAAAGATTTTTAGCGTAAGTGGCCATGGTGGTGTCCGTGACACAGATATGCACACACAGTAGTACCTTGCTTAACCTGCTGTTTAAACCAGTTGTTCTCAAACTTTTTTTGGTTGAATCTCACCTTTTGTCTTTACTCCTATTTCTTTTGGGGCTGCAGATTTTACTTTGGAGCTTGAAGTCAGTCCTTTACTTGTTCCATACTAACTTCAGCTATAACGTATTTTCGTTTCAGAAGTTTGCAACCAGCGTAGCTGAATTTTTATCAATTTTGTAATTTTATATATCAGTATTTGCTGGGAAATCAGATAGTTATGATATATAACCTCATAAGCAATAGCTAGCCATATCACTATTTTGCTAGTATGTTTTCAAAATGTATAGCAAGAATGGCAATACCTAGTCAGGAGAAATAATATTGTCTGTGTTCTTGGTGCATGTATTTCTGGAAGAAAAGAGTAGTAAAGATGATATGGATACAGTTCAGGGCCAATTATATTGTAAAACAAGTGTATCACAGCAAGACCAGTAATTGCAGGGTCTGTCTGTGCTTAACAACTGCGTCCTTTTTGTATGTACATATGCTGATAGAGGTGTAAATATGGGTTGTGTACACATGATTGGCCACAAAGCAGTTATATGTAATAACCCTGGTAGATCTTACAAGGAGGAGTATTTTTGAGAGAGCGTGTGATGGTGAGGGTGTTTTAACATAATCCCTACATACTTCCATAGTTTCTTTGCTGACATATGGGGAAAAAATAACTTTGAATGTGGTTTGCAAAAAATAGTCTGTCTTTTGTCACCTTCCTCTCTATTGCTTTCATGGCTGTTATATTTCCATTTTGTAGAAGTATTTCAGGATTTCAGTTATTACACTTAGTTGTAAAACTGTATTTTATAGGTGCAAGAGCCTCTTAGTTTCATGGAAGAAACTTGTCTAATACAAGATGGCTGTTCAGGCTACTACATATTGTATGTGGGTCATGGAATATAATGTTTCATTGCCTAAGTCCATGAAGAAAACATTCATGAATGACTGATGTCCAGCATGGTGTAAGTATGAGCTCCACACCAGGAAGATGCTAAACTCCAGACTGTGGAACAGTATGTGAGAAATATCTTTATGTGTGTGTCCTATTCATTTTTTCCTTACTTAAAGAGAATGAGAAGGCATTGGCTCTGCAGATCTGCGAGCTAGATGAACTGTTGTTCTGACCCAATATAGCTGGTCCTGTTTCCTCAGCAAACTCATAATACAGTGCCTTCTTTCTTGAATTTGAGCATTTCATTTATGTACATTGAGAAGGACCTGAATCACTGTCTGCAACTATTCGATGTTTTTTGTGTTTTTTTTTGGTTGGAGTGAAGATCAACTGTGTTACAGCAGGAAACTTGCTGGGTCTGCAGTTGGGTCTATTGAAGGACACGGTGAATGGTTGCTTGGTATTGAAGGATTTTGAGGCTCACTGAGGGCAGATTTTCTCCTTGCTCACTCTTATGAATTTGTTGCTGTGTTTGAAACCCAGAAGTTTTCTGTCTAGTTTAAGGCAGTGATGAGAGGAAGGAAGAAATATTGTCGGTCTTGATCAGCAAATAAGACAAAAATAGGGAAGAGAACAGGAGGGAAAGGTGAGATTTGCCTTTTTGCTCCCTTAAAGCATGATGGTTTCTGGCCTTTAACAAGTCTTTTTTCTGCTGCGAAATTGTGAATTGTTGAGTTAGACCCTTCCAGTTCACTACCAAATGGTTTTGTGAGGACTGCAATACTTATTTGGAAGCTAAACAGTCCTACTTTGTGCACTGGTGTTTGCATTTGTGGGAAAGGACTCTGAGATAACCCTCACTGTGTCTTGGTTGATTTGTCACTTATGCAAATCGTTGTAAAATATGCCTGTCGAAGGGTTGTTTCTGCGGTATGGATAAACTGTTTTTAATCAAATTGCATGCTTTTCTGAAACTTTCTTTGATTCAGCACACAGGCAAATACCGCTCTAAAGTCTTGGCTATAGTTATTGGTTGTGTAGCTGCACTGATAAAGATGCTGATCTTTACGCCGTTATGGCTAGTAAGGTGATTGACTTTTAGATTGTGTCTATGTGACATAAAATATTGTTTGTGAAATGTTACGTTGTTGGCTCAGATCACTGGTATGGAGGTTCAGTTACCTGTTTTTCTCTGTTAAAGGTTTTCTTCTGCCTTTTATTTTTGAGACTTGTAGAAGGTCTAGTGGAAGCAGCTTCTTCATGAGGAGTTGTCAGATGTGTACTTTCTTGTTAGGCATTACTTTGGAGTTTTAATATTTGTGACACAATTTTTCATTATTTTATCATTAAGAGAAAGTCATGAGTTTAGCTTGCAGCTGGTGGGTTTATCTGGTATCTTTATCCTTTCTCAGCTTGTCATGTTGGTTTAGCAAAACAAAAATAAACTTGCTGTAATTCTGCATGAATACAGCATTGCAGTTCTGAAGCCAGAGTGACTGAGTAGCCAAAAAAAAAAAAGCTGTTTGGTAAGGAAACAAGTACTTTTTAATCTGAAAATGCTGGTTAAGTCAAAACTGAAACATCTTGCAAGCATGGATTGTCATCAAAAAGATTTTTTTGTGTCTGAGATGTGTGGTCATGCTGAAAGAGCTGAAGTCGTACTCTAGAAAAACAAAATACCTCAGGGATTTTTAGGGCAGTTGCTCAGGAGGTTGGCTGCAGGCGGTGGGAAGAAGGTTAAACTGCAAATTCCTGGCCCTTCCTGATACAGGCGGTTTGGATCTTGGTCTTCCACTTTCCAACGAGGGCCTAAGTATCTAAGCTATCAACTCTTTAGGAGGGGATTAATCTTTTACTTGTTACCCCTATTAATTTCTGTATATTGGAGCACAGATATCTCTTATGATCCAGGCAAGCTCTCTAATCGCTGCTGGGATGTTTGCTTTCCTCTGCTAAATTCTTTTTTTTATCATGATACACACCCACCCCTCTCAAAATAGGAAGCAAACATTTAAACATTTTTGAAGTCTTCATAATTTTTCACAGAATAAGGAAAATCAATCATTTTATATTCAGTTTTGAGAATATCTGTTTTCTTTTACTAGTTTTTAAAATATTTTAATTTTCTATCTCAATATATTCTCTACTTAAGTTATGAAACTTTCTGTTTGCTTACACCCTTGTCAAAGGATGTAGAAATAGTTTGCTGAATGTGTAACTAAATGAATCACAGGCCCTGATCTTGCAAAGTACTTAAGAAAGTAACTAGTATTGTTGGATAGGGCTAGTAGCATCAGGTGTGCACATAAGTGCTTTGCTGGACTGGGGTTGTGGGATGTCAGCACTTAGTGCAGGGTGTAGACTTCTGTTGGTCACGGTTCCTTATCTGGAGAATAAGAATTGCTTGTGCTTCCAAACTAAATATGTAAATCCAGTCAAATTGACCTAGCCAGAAGATTCAGTAGTTTGACAAACCTCTATCTATTCATGTTGTAATTTAAAAAAAAAAAAGCAATGTTAATGTTTTTGTTATCGCTGTGTATTCTCATGTCTGATTATTAAACAGTGAATGAACAAGCTTTGCAGAATAATGCATCAGAATCTTTGTGTATTTGCTGTTCTCTTTTCTGCATGCTTTTTCTCTATAAAGCTTTTTGATGTAAGCATTTTTTATTCTGTTGTGCACTGAAATTACTTAATTGCCTCTAATATTGGGAACCTAGTAGCCATGATGCCCAGCAATTACAAAAAAAACCCAAAACAAAAAACACCAAACCAAAAAACAAACAAAACAAACAAACAAAACAAACAAAAAACCAAAACCACAAAACAATCTTAAAATAGGGAGGAAGTGGACAATGGACAGAAAGTAAGGGACTGAGTATTTTGGAATAAGGTTGTGTTGTAATTTGTAAGACATTGTTTCATTATTGGATACTGTGATTTTAATAGTCATTTTTCTTTTGTCTGTGATGGAGTTTTATAAAAATGGACTTGCTGTGTGTTGACCTTTCTTTGAAGTACGACATTCTTGCAGTTGCACTTTTTGATCTTTTTAAATTTTGTTTTTGTTTTGCCTAAAGACTGTGTGTGGACAGTAATGACCGCACGTTTCCGATTGCCTGCTGGCAGAACCTACAATGTACGAGCATCTGAGCTGGCACGAGACAGGCAGCATACGGAGGTGGTCTGCAACATTCTTCTCCTGGATAACACTGTACAAGCTTTCAGAGTTAATGTAAGTAATTTGCTTATTACAAATCAATATCACCGAGCTTGCTTTCCTTTGCTGGACTTGTATGGCTAGAGTTTGACTTTCAAAATAGTGTTAAGTACAGAATAGAAGGGGAAATTATGTTCAAGCAGGCATGCTTGTACATGTTACATACTAAGTCATTGTGAACTTCGTCATTCTAGCATCCTCTATAGTACTAAGACATCTTCATTTCAAAATTGAATATACAAAGCATAGTTTATTTCTAGTAATTTTCTTCATGGGCTGAAGTTGTATAGTGGAAATGGAGGGCAGTTTTGCCCCTGAGTTGAATGAGAAGCGAGCTTTTGTTTTACTCCGTTCTGGTTTTTGCATTTTGAGCATGAGTAAGGTGTAATGGTAACTCTTCTCTTGACTGTGTAGCTAACTATGTTCAATCATGTGTAGGATTATATTTGGTTACAGCTATCGTCTTAAAGTATCTCTTTGCTTTTGCTTTTCTCAGATTGTATTCTTGTTCTATGATTTCCCTCGCTTAAAATCACCACCCTCTAATGCACTAATGAGGGTGGCAGGAAAGAAAATAGGAAACTAGTTGCTGAATGCTGAGGACTGTTAATGGGAAAAGTGAATAACTTTTACATATGAGCCTGGAATTTAAAATAGGTTCTTCATAAGAATTTCTAATCTGTAATCTTTTATAAGGAGTTAAAATGAAAATGTTCATGACTTTGTGTGTATGTTCACACAAGTGCAACCATTTCTTTTGACTTCTTGAGGAAAAAAACCCACAAACAACAGGCAAGGACCTCACAAGAAAACATTGAAGTATTTAAAGTGATCTTTGTGTGAGAAGAACCAGAACTCAATAGGAAAGCAGCTGTGGGGTGTCCTGGGGCTGGAGAATTCAGCTTTTACTTTATAACATATAGAATTGATGACTTATGTGGAGAAAGGCTGAGTAATGTGGTGGTAAAAGTTACAGATGTGGCATAATTATCGAAGTTTTTCAAGAGAAAATTGAAATTCAGCGAATGGAGTGAAGGAGTAGCTCAATATTATATAAGGCTGTGGGACTTCAGCTGGGAAGTGAGAGAGAAACAGAAGCAGTTCTCAGATCTGTGTGAACAAGTTTAATTTGGACTATTTGAAAAAGTTGCAATGCTCAGTAATTATATTGTATTCTAATATCCAGAAGATTTGTGAGAGTGATTGCATTTCTCTGTTCTGTAATCAGGTGGTTAGAGCCTGTGCAGCCTGCAGCTGCCTATCAGAGGAGTGAAATCTCTGTTACCTAGCAAAAACTTGCAAGGACCCAGTGTCAAGTGGCTTAACCATAGACTTGATGGTTATTTGGTTTAGATTTTTCAATCAAGATGGAAGGTTTTGGGATGCAGTCTTCAGGCATTTTTGTCGTTCATTCAGGAGCTATTTAACTTTTCGGGACTTCTGAATAGTTAAGGGTGAGAATTTTGGATGATGGGGGAGAGTGTCCTGGTTTCATCTGGGATAGAGTTAATTTTCTTCCTAGTAGCTGCTATAGTGCTGTGTTTTGGAGTTAGTATGAGAAGAATGTTGATAGTACACTGATGTTTTAGTTGTCGGTAAGTAGTGCTTATACTGGTCAAGGACTTTTCAGCTTCCCGTGCTCTGCCAGGTGCACAAGAGGCTGGGAGGGAGCACAGCCAGGACAGCTGACCCAAACTGGCCAAAGGGATATTCCATACCATATGATGTCATGCTCAGTATATAAATTGGGGGAGTTGGCCGGGGAGCAGTGATCGCTGCTCAGGGCTGGGCTGGGCATTGGTCGGCGGGTGGTGATCAATTGCATTGTGAATCGCTCATTTTGTATATTCTATCATCATTATTATTATTTTCCCTTCCTTTTCTGTTCTATTAAACTGTTTTTATCTCAATCAACAAATTTTACTTTTTTTTTTTAATTCTCTCTCCCCTCCCACTGTGGGGGGGGTGGGCAGTGAATGAGCAGCTGTGTGGTGTTTGGCTGCCTGCTGGGTTAAACCACAACAGGAAGGGATGACCAAAGACTTTAGCTGATCAACATCAAGCCTCATTATCCTTTCTGGGATAACTTCTCCTACATACCTTTTCCCTTTTCCTCTACAATATTCCACTGCTCTTCTATATCTCTTATCTTCTCATTCTTGCTAACAGGTCTATACTGCCTGCCAAAAAGCAGTATGTGCAGAATGTAGTTGGAGACAAAGCATTAAAAGTGCATGAGAAATTTTAAATGTTGTGTCCTCTGCTTTCAGGTGCATGAGTTTTCCATTAAAATATCTGTCTTGCAGTTTTTTGTTTGTTTGTAAGAGTTGGCTAAAATAAGGAATAATTGTTGTACAATAGGTATGGGAGGTTATGCTTCTTTTCGATCTAGGGTTCAAAAGCTGTGTGTTGTTAGAGAATGCTAGTGCCTGTCTAGAGTAGAATCAGCAGTTATAAATCCTCAAACGTCTATTCTGTCTCTCACAAGAAAAATTTATGTAATATGTTCTTGCCACCTCCCTAGTGTACTAAGTATTTAGTTGCATGGATCACGCTTTACTGCTTATATAGATCAACCTGCAAGTTTGTCTATTAAAACTGAGTTTAGTGAATAAAAAGTCCCTTGGTGCTCAACATTTTGATCTTGGGTCTTAGCCTCAATCTGTTTTTTCAAAAATAGTGTTCAGTCATAGAAAATATATGCTAACCTACATGGTATACAGGTTTTCAGGGTTTATGGCTGTGTTTTACTTTATTGTGGTTGGCACAATACTTGGCAATAAATATTTATGGAATTGTTTTCAAAATAGGAAGAACAAAGATAACATCAAATAAACTAGCAAGGTTTTTTCCTTCTGGTGATTGCTATAGGTATTCTGTCTGCTAATGATGGTAAAGCTTAATCTTCTGGAGTATGCAGTGCTGTATTAATAAAAATGTACTCAAATGCTGTTTCTTCTCCAACAGAAAAGACTGATCACAGACAATGTCTCTTGATAATTTATGTGACATGTTCTAAGTTCACATTTCAACCAGCCTTTTCCACTGCTCTGCAAAATAGGCATTCTTTGTGCTAAGCCTTACCTTGTCTAAAGCATAACAAATCAAATTAAATAATCCCTGTGGATTGTAGCCAGACAAAAGTTATTTTGGTTGCAGGCAGAAGAATCAGTTGGAACTAACCTGTGCATATGTTTGAGGAATAGAAATCCTTTGTATAAAATGCTCTGCTTCCTAAATGAAGAACTCCTACTTTGACCCTGAAGAGCATACTTCATAGAAAGCGTAGCTGGAAGAAGTGAGGCTGACTTGAGTTAATAACATGATCAGGATGATTTGCATTACCATAAACCTGCTTCTTCAAGATCAAATTGCTTTAATTAGTTTTAATTAATTGTTTAAATGCCTCAAATTGTATCTTTTCCATGCAGGCTGACTTAATTGTATTCCCTGAAAGCCAGTACATAGATACAGAGATCACACTAAACTTGAGGGAAAACTAAGTCAAGATAGATGGTATGAGTTGTTCTGTAAACAAGGCTAGTGGGTTAGTGGTCATGGACAAATGTTTCAATCTGGAGCCTTTATTATCTCAGAATTCTCCTTGAAGTTAATGAATTTACACTCTAATGGAAGTAAAATCTAAAAATCTGTAAAATAACCCAAACCAACCCACAAAAAACCCACACCAATCCCCCTGTAATTCTAGAAGTGAAATCTTCCGCATTACTTAGTTGCTTCCCTTTTTTCTTTGACCAAAAAAACAAATAGCCTGGAAACTTTTTTTAAAACAAGGTAACTTTTTGCAAAGCTCACGTAAGCTGTAGAATGAAAAGAGACAGTAGTGCAGTGCTGGCTGTTTGGGGGTGCGCTTGCTTGAGTCGCAACACAAGTATTGTGGTGGGCTGCGAGAGGAGAGGTTCCAGTGTTGTCATGAGTGAAGGAGCAGTGCAGCCTCCCACAGACCTGTGAGCAGCAGAGCCGTCTGACCCAGGAAAGCCTGGGACCTGCAATCCCATTCCTCTATCATCAGAAGTCCAAATTTGTTTGGACTGGCACGGCAGCAATATCTCCTGGTGTTTGCTGTAGATGTGGCCAGTTCTGTAGGCCAGCAACAAAACCAGAATGTCAGTAGTATAAATTGGGAAGATTGTGGTGGTAGTTGGTAAGCAGGCATTAAACCTAATTGCAAACGTTTTCCTAAATTTTCAAACATGGGTGTTTGTAAACAGTTAACAATCATCTTGCAATTAGAAATTAATGTGTATATATCTAATGGTACTATACATTTGTCACTAGATGATGGATACTTCATAAAGTGCACTTAATATATTGATGTCTAGTGTTGATGTCAAATTTGTTCTGAAAGGCCAAAATTTGTTAGACATTTTGCCTCCAGCATTGACTAGTAAGTACGCATAACATTCTAATACTCCAATTCAGAAAAAATGTTGATATGTTTTGTGTCTAACTACTGCAGCTTTATGTTATAGTTCCATTTTTTCACATATTTTTCCATTATTCCCTTTTTTAAGATGAAATAATAATGTTTATCTGTAGGAAGAAAGCAAATTTCTTTCTATGCTAATCCACATTTATTTTTGCATTTTTATTAAAAAAAAGCAAAAGTAGAAACTTGTTATAATACTTTTTATAATTTATAGCAGCTATTCAGTGGTTATGATAGTGTTACAAATATTTTGGACCTTTCACAACAAGCAGGATTGTGACCTTCACCTGCTCTGGCAAACTGCAACATCATTATATAAATATCAGAGATGGGTTAAACTGAGGTCTGGTTTTACTAGATGCTTATCTTTATTTTGCACTGAGAGTAAAATATTGTGATCAAAACAACTGCTTCGTGTTGAAACTAGTCTTCTCTTACCAAATTCGCTGCTCTATTGCAGGAGAAGTACCTTCCTTGCGGTCGTGGAATGACTTTCTATATTACTAAATTCAAACTGATCAGCAAGTTCTAAGCTTTTTCGTTAGGAAACTTCTACTCAGATATTTAAGAAACAGTGTAAATTCTCATGTTTAGATTGGAAAAAAGCTACAGAATTGATATCTGCATGTTATTTGAAGAAGTAACATGTCAGCTGTGGTAAATGTAACCCTAAACTTGGGTTCCAAACGTCTCCTGTTTTCTGATAGTTACTGTCATAAGTTCTCAGTTTGAGTTCTGATTTAAATCTACATGGGGAAAAATGCCAAGAAGCAATTAGTGTTGCTATATAATTTTAAAATTAGTTTTATTTGCTGAAAAAATTGTACTGATTACTGATTTATTTCAAAATATATCAGAAACTCCTAATTTAGTAAAAATGAAAGTGACTATTTTTGGATTGTACACAAAAATTGCCTCATGCATTTATACTGTTGTGTATTTATTATGTTAACATCTGGGTTTTTTTCTTTGCTTGTTTTTAGTTATTGGAAAGTAAATTGTTCAGTAGTTAACTTCTTAACAATGGTACTCCCACTGGCTGTTCATTTCATTAAACATCAAGAAATTTTCTCTGTATGATTTTTTTAAAAATAAAGATCTTCTTTCAAAGTAAATATGGCAACTCTTAGATCACTTTAACTCAGCCAAATTTATATGGGACCTGAAATATATGCCTTATGTAATTTCAGCTTAAATATGCAGAGCTATGGTTATGATTGTCCTGCTGGGATCATTTCAAGCATAATTTGTTGATAACTGTTTTCTATTTTTTTTATTATTATGAAATAAATTATCAAGCTTCTTGGAGTTTTTAGTCCCCAATAAATGGTTTTGACAGTTTACTCGACTTCAGTGTAATTTCAGCTGAACAAAAAAATGAGTTTTGATAGAATGCTCTTAGATGTTAACAAATGTCGGAATGTGATTTGTAGATTTTTCTTGTATATGGATATTAATGAAGTTCTTGCAACCTTCTTTTGACCTTTTAGTTATATACTTCTATTTTAACGTCTGTAAAAGTAAACTGTTGGATAATCTCTATGAGAAGTGAAGTCATTAAAGTTTTAAAACTTAAAAAAATATCTTATTGCCTACAGTAAACAAGGCAAGATGTATCAAATCCACTGTAGTATCAATAATACTTGGCACCTAGAAGATTGTTAGAAGCTTGCCTGGTGCCAGAAAAGTAGAAAATCTGGGTGGAAAATGTATCAATCATCTTTCATAATTTTTTTTTGTTTGACAGTTGTTCTTGCAGAATTTTTCCTCATCTTTTGTACTTCAAGCAGCTATGACACTTTAACTTCTTTGGGAAACTCCCTTCAGATTTCACCAAATGTGTTTATTGAGTCCTGTCATAATGGCACACTCAGCGTTTCAATACTGCGTTGGCAGTATTTTCAGGTTAGGCAAAAAAACGCTAGGTACCAACAGCTACAGATTCTTTTTATATCGTTTTGGGGGTAGGATTTGTCCCTGTAGTAGAAATCAAGTTTGTTCACTTGTCTCTGAAAAGCAATGTTGCTGTTTTTCATTTCATTTGAATTAGTTCATTTAGAGTGAAGTAGTATCTTTGAGAGAACGCATTTAAATGACACTTCTCAGTTAGATATTTGGCTGCTTCAGCTGTCTATGCCATTTAACTTAGGAAACATTTTCAATATGCTGGTTCATTTAGATTCAGGAATAGATTTTTGGATAAAATAGGTAAGAATAACTTGTACAGACCTGTACTTTTAAATTCAGTGACCCAAACAAGGCTATAAAGTTCTTTGTCAAATCCTAGCCTTTTTTTTTTCTTTTCTTTTCTTTTTTTTCAGGACTCCTTTTAAATATCAAATTTGGCTAATGAATGGCTTTCAGGAATAATCATGTAGCTAGCTGAGAAGTGAGAAATCGTTACTGTCAAAAAATGACAAAGAGGAAAAATAATAATTCCTTACATATGTTTCAAAAAGAGAGATGATGCTCATTTAAAAATAGTGCTCCTGGGATATACTTCGTGATATTTAAAATTTAGGCTGCTAGAGCACAGTTGAAAGAATGTGTGTGTGTTCTGCCTGCCTGAAGTCTGTGTGTCCGATTATATATTTGTTCATTAAACAATATACGTATTTGCTCTCTGCAGAAACATGATCAGGGACAAGTTCTACTGGATGTAGTCTTCAAGCATCTCGATTTGACAGAGAGAGATTACTTTGGTTTACAGTTGGCTGATGAATCTACTGATAACCCTGTAAGTTGACTCTCTTTTATAAATATGATTTTATAAATCATCATCATGTTCATCACTGTGCTCTGTGTCATTGTAAAGAGAAGTAAATAGAAGCCACTGCACTATTGTGCCATCTTCTCCAACTGTGTCATTTGAGTGGGTCAGTATCACCTTGTAGTTACAATAAAACTGAATGTTAATAGTTACAAGTTTGGAGTAAAATGTTGAGATCTGTGCTTATAAAATAATACCTTAAAAGGATATTGCTTGTTTTGTTGTATCTATTTACTAGACTGTGTGATCATTGTCAGTTGGGATAAGAAATAGTAAGTCTTTTTTAATTTTTTTTTTTTTATTAGGACTTACAAAAAAAATGAGGGGTGGTTAGGTTGTCCTGTATGGTGTTTTTGTTTCTAGCCCAGATACCTGGTAGGTCTTTTAATAGTGCTTCATATAGTCCACTATCTGACAAGGGCTGTCAGCTCATCACCTTAACAGAAAAAGGAAGGGACTCCTTTGAAAATGAATGTTTATAATGGTTCATGCGCTTTAATTGAAAGGAAATTCCATGGGACTGAGACTTTGTAAATCGCTTTATAATTCACCAGTAGAAACTAATAGATCCAGCTGTGATGTTCAGTGACTGTAATAGTTATAGATGTACTGCTGAGATCATGATTGCTTGAAGAATACTTCTTGAATACTTTCTTTTATAGGTATCAATTGTTCATACTTGTTCTAAAGTGCAATTTAACTGAGTATTATTCCTTATAATACAGTTTTTTACTTAATTCCCGTTATATGCGTGTCACAGTGATGGGGTCTAAATTTATCTTCCAACTTGTGTGTCAAAAGTAATTTTTGTTCACAAAATATGCAGGATGTGATCTATAGAGATAAGTGACACTGTAAAGTGTTAATCATTCAGTAACTAAGGTGAGTTTCAGAAGATAGTGCAACATTCTTTGGTAAGTGCAGATTTGGTCTACTGTTGTTTTTACCATCAAGAGTGACTGTTTTAAATAGTAAGATTAAAAAAGTATTCCTTCTAAAAGGTTGGGTTTTTCTTTTTACTTATTTTTAATGTCTTTTTTTAATGTAGAACAGGAAGAAAGAAGTCACAATACAGCCATAATTTTTCTTTTGCATGAATAGTGAACTATTTTCACGTTTCTTTCTTCTCTAGAGCAAATGATTCTTAATTATATTATTTTTCTAAATTCTGGTAACATTAAGGTTATTAATATGTATAAAGCTGTATAGCACAGTTGTAGATACTTAACGAAGTTTTCTTTTGTAACTTTGTGGATAGTTCTGTTATGATGTTGGTAAGCTGGCCTCATTTAATCTTTTTATTCTAAACTTTGTTTCCAGGCTGAAAAGACATAGGCATGCTGTAGGAAAGGCTGAATTATTTTTCAGCTTTGTTTAAGAAGTATTTAATTGAATATCACTCAATATTTTACTCAACATTCAGAAATTTGTAGTGTTTCTCATTCTCATTTGTCTGGTTTTCCAAAGCTTAGACCTCTAAACTTTCTTTTTTTAGTTGATCTATCCTGGAAGCAGCTGAACACAACACTGTAATAGAAGGTTCTGGTTAAGAGTTAGTCTGAAAGAATAATGACTTCATAGCTATTTGATATAAGCACATGCTTTAAAGGTTTAGTATTCTTTGATTTCTAAATACTTTGGCTTTTCAGCACTTATCTAGTTGCCATGAAAACAATGTATCAGAGCTAAATGGAAATTTTACCAATATTAGTCATGTAAGCTTGAAAAATCTATGGGTTTGACTAATTTTAGTTTTTGATATCAGTTTACTTTTACACTTAGTTCATTTGGGCAAACAAACGAGATTGTATTGACAAATATTCTAGTTACGTGTGAAATAACACAGCGGAATATTACTAAGATATAGTCAGTACGGCAGGAGATAAAGGTGATGGGGAAAAGGGAATTCTGCTAATTGAGTGTGAAACCTCTATTATTGTGCCTAAATGTGGATTTCATAAACTGCAGAAGCTTTATGTTTTTGTATAATATTGTCACAGTAAAAGTCAATGCAAGAAAGCATTGATGCTGTGTACAGCTGGAGTGGTGTATTTGGCTAGGGTCTTGGGCTGTGGATGTCTGGAGCAATGCTGAGAAGGGCGTATTGGTGCATCGTGGGAGTGAGGGTGCAGTGAATACTGTCAGTGTGGGTGCTGGAGCGCCCTTGGCAGGAGGGAGTGAGGCAGGGATCGTTGCTGCAGGAGGAGAGAGTACAGAAATGACTCTCCAAGGGACTGGGGTACAAACTTCATGGATTTCCCAAATCCACCTGCCTCTCAGACTTACGGGGATGTAAATGAGATAACATGTCTTGCTAGCAGCACTTTGATTCATAAAGTTCTGGTACTTCCTGTCAGCTTCAGCTTCTTTACAATATTAAGTGGTTTAACCCTCTGCAGTTTCCCAGTGAGAAAATTACCTTTTGCGTTTGGACCCAATGATATAACTTGAAAGCAGGGATATGGCCTGTTAAATATAGTTCAGAAAAAAGTTACGCTTCTGTGGTTTGAGCTACACTAATACCCACCTTCTTTACAACCAGAAGGAAATGTAAATGCAAGCTTTTCTGCTAGGCATTTCAATTCCAGGTTTTCTGGATTAATTGTAACCTCAAACAGTACTTCCCACAAAAAAAAAAAAAAAAATCAGAGGATTATCAGTCAGATCTGTGCATTATCAGGTATATTGGATCATAACCGCTTGCTTAAAGATACTCAAGTATCTTTCACTGTGTTTCGAAAGTTTCTTATGTAAAATTCACGTGTATCCCCGGCTGGAGAGTCCTTTCTTAAGCCTTTACATTTAAGCTTTTAACTTTCTTAAAAGTTAATTGATCCTGTGCGAAGTTTTTTTGAAATAATCACACTCTTTAAGCTGTATCAAACTGTCTCTTTAGTTTCTCTTAAGTCATTTACAAGGATACAGCATTTGGACATAGTCATCATTATTTGTTGTTCCCAATGAATAAAATGACTCAGAACTAACTTCAGATCCATAGTATGTCTCGGATAGCTCAGGTACCTCTGTGTGTTTGCTTCCTCCTCACTCACATGAAAAAAAAAAGCCCTGTGATAAATGTGAGGTAGTTACATGCCATACAGGGTTAGGTCTGTGTCACTTCCTAGGAACTGTGGCCTTATAACCGTTTCCTGAGGCTTGTGGGCTTGCATTGCAAGGCAGGATGAGGAACAGAACAGTATTTATAACAAAGATAGACTTATGAGTTAACTGAACTACATTGGTATGTGCAGAGTCTGCTGGGTTGCTGGTGGGGAGTGGTTTAAACAACTTGTAGGGCTTTCCAGAGAACGATACTACTTCTGAAATTTGGAGCGTTGATTTTTATAAAGATCTGTCTGTACTTCCCCACAGCAGCGCGTTCTCCTGTAGAGACGATCAAGATTGGGTGCTGTTTGGTAAAATTGTTCTGTAGTCCTTAATCCAGTAGGCTGAGTGCTGAGCCTCTGGTTTCCAAGATCCCAATTGGCGACTTACCAGAGATGACACTCGGACTGACAATTTGAAGAGAATCTGTAAGCCAGTGGAATCACTCCCTGGATGTGTCAGACCTGCAAAATGCAGAGTCAAAAGTACTGGAACTAGTTTAAGCAAATTAACTTCTGAGTTGGGTAAATTAACCTGCTTATAGCTCTTCACTGCCACAGTTAATTCACCTTAGATAATCAGTTTAAAGAGTAGCTGAAGATTGTTAAAGACACCATAATTAAGTTCTAACCTCTCTCAGGCTCACGTGACAATCATAAAACCAAGTCATAGTTGAATTAGCACCGCAAGAGACAGATATCTGGACAACGGAGGTTAATCTCAGGGAAAGAACAGCAATAGCAACTGTTGATGATAATGTTGGTGTCTTTCCAGAATCAGTAAGAAGACTTTGTATGCCAGTAAGACATTTTGATAACAGACCAAGTAAAAAGTAATAGAAAAGCAACTTGATTTATAAGTTACTTGATGTATAAGGCTATAATTTGTACTTCTTTGTTTCTCTGAAGTGGTGTTATAATTTGTCTCTTTCCAGAGGTGGTTGGATCCAAACAAACCTATCAGGAAACAATTAAAAAGTGAGTACATGTATGTATTTGGTCAATTCATATGTCATTATTATGCTGTTTTCCAGGGTACCCTGATTAATTAGAAATAACTTTTCTTGACTGTAGGAGGATCGCCTCACAGTTTGAACTTCAGAGTGAAGTTTTTTGTAAGTGATCCAAACAAACTCCAAGAAGAATATACAAGGTAGGTCTAGTTAATTTATCAATAAAACATTTTTCGAGAAGGCTTATGTTTAAGGGGAAAACTGTCGTTAAATTTTAAGGTATAACACGGAAATTTTCTTTTAAATAATTTTTGTGTCATATGTGCAAGCTTCTAATTTTTGCCTAATAATTACAGATATGAACTATGCAGTTGCACCAAATCAATATAACAAAAAGCCTCTGTGAATAAATTTACAAATTTATATGCAAAGTGAAGTAATTACATGAAGAAAATACTACCAAGTAGAGACAGAAAAGGGAAAATAGAGAAGAGAGGAAAAACTTAACCCCACTATTCACCAATGAGTACAAATTTAATTTTATCCTTACTTGTGTTCTCCTTTGTGATTAAAAAATTCGTGAGCTTTCTGCATTTTTTTTCTTGACATCCCACCCCCCCAATTTTCTGCTTGGCACTAATAAAATTAATCTCTGTTTGTATGGTTGTAGTCCTAGCTTGAAGCATGTAAGCTTTTTTGATGGCAGTGTGTTGAAGTCTGTTGAAGAAAATACTCAGCGTGAATCAAGATAGGAGGCTTGTGAGTTGCAATTAGTCCCTGAAGAAATGCCTCAAATTTTCAGTATTCTTAATTAGTTCTGGTCCTCTTCATAACTGGCATGATTTGACAGATTGGAATTTTTGGATGCCAGCCATTCTGAAAACAGGTCAGCCCCATTCAGAAAACAATATCTAAATTATTAAGGATAGCTTTAGAAACGTAAGTACCAAAACTGTGAAAATTTGAGTCCACATTTTGTTTATAATTTCTTTTGATTTGTCATATTTTGGACAAAATTTTACACACATCTATGCAGACAGAATTTACTAAAGTGAGTCCCAGAGATCCTGGATCAGGCTTTGTTTTATTGAAATATTTACTCTGAGAAAATTTGGCAATTTACTGTATCTGAATAATGAAAAATGTGTTATTTGAATTAAAGGACAATATGTAATATTCCTAAGGAGGTGGAAAAAACAGTAAATATCAATTGATCAATATGAAGTAAACAGTAAAGAAAATAGAGAACTGTTTACTTTAAACGTTATGCTATAAATACGAAGTATAAATACAGCATCCTTTTAGATGAGAGATAATGTATGATTGCTGTATCTAGGTCAGCTCTGCCTTTTTTTGCTAATAGGCCTAATTGCCCCTGAGAAAACTTGTTTGTATTTGGAATTATTATAAAGAGAGAGTATTATCCGTGGGGTTTTTTTGGGTGAAGTTAGGATGCCATGTCACAAATATGGGGTCCTTTCATGTAATCAGTATTCGCCCTTTAAAAAAGAAAAAAAATGAAACAAAGTGCAAACTTCTGACAATTCCACTCAAGCTGAGACTTTTCAAAGATGCTCAGTTTTTGTAAATTTCATGGAAACAGAGGAATGAGTTGTCATATGAGGCAGTATGAATAGACATCAGGGAAGGGTTCAGTGCAAGCTCGTGTCTTATTAGACCTCTGCGAATTCGTGTGAGGGAGGCAGGTTGTGAATGCCCTAGGTCAGGAAAGGTCAGCTCACCTTGTGTTGGAGAGTTTAACTTTAGGAACTTGTCTTGGTAGGAAATGGAGCTTTATTAGTTCTGCTCGTGGCAGAAAGACTTGCTTATTAATGTTGACTCCAGTTAGCAATAACTCTGTCTTACCCTTTGAGAGAGAGAGAGAGAGAGAGAGAGAGATAAGGAAGATGAAAACATTGTAATGCAATGCCACCTTCATTGTTTTAGCTGAATTTGTTCTGCAGGCTTTTTCAGATCTACATTGCTAAAGCTTCTATTGATTTCCCATTTTGCTCAATAATATGTGAGGCTTCCGTGTTCAAACTGGGGTGGTTAGCTAACAAGCAATTAACTTGTTTGCTGAAAACACTGGACAGAAAATGAACTCTGCTTGGTGTTCCTTAATCATGAGGCCCCTTAAGTACCATGGAATACTTCTAATACAGCATTACACCAAAAAAAGTAAAATAAAATGAAGGTGCAGCTGCACATACAGAATGTTTTTGTCCTACATTTTTGCAGCCGTAAATGTTAAGTTAACAGGAAAAATTGTTTTGTTCAGTATATTTCTGGAGATGCTCAAGCTAAGCATGTGAAGCATATCCTTTTAATATGTAAATTTAACTTGTCATTGCTTTTTTTAACAGGTAAAGAAATTTTGCTTTATCTGTCTGGTTTTTTTTGTTTCAATATGCATTTTAAGGTGGAAAACGAAAAAGTATTTTGAGGTCTCTAAAGCCTGGCTAATGTCTTCGTTTTAACTTCTTGAGGTTAATACCTTACACTAAGCTTCTTGCCATTCTGGTCAGTCAAGGAACCTCTAGACGGTTTTGTAGGAGTCGAGCACATGGACTAACATCTTTGCTAGTCAGTTTGCAAGTGTTTTCCCTCATTTTCTTTCAAACATGGAATGTTTTACCTTTCCACTGTATTTGCTTGTAAATGATTGGATTTCTGTGTGTGTATTTGTAAATGTTTGTGGAAGTCTTTAAAGTGGTAGTTAATCCACTTTCTGAAGACTACAAAATTATAAGAAGTCATATTATGTGTAATAAAGTGATATATTTTGTTTTTAATTTCTTAGTGCAAGTTAATATTGGGGAATATTTAATGGTTGGTTTCAGTTGAACTTGAACTAGGTGGTTTTGATAAGTAATTTTGATGAGTGTTTATAATAAATGGGTATGGCTGACTCTCTACTTTTGAATCAGAACTACAAGAAGGAAACCAGATGATGTTTATAATAATAATAATAGTATAGGAGGTCCCAAAGCAGAACAAATTTATAAGAAAACAGGAACAATGTTTAAATTTTCCACTCAGTGAAACTTTTTTTTTTAAATAAAAAGGCATTAGAGCCTAAATTCTACAGCTGCTTTTATACCCTGTTGTAAGGGGGTTTTGCTGAAAGTTTAAGCTTGTGCTAGCGTCCTGCCATCAGTAAGTCTTGTTTGTTACCCAACTTCAATCTCTGTCAGTGGAGGTTTATAACAGGTGTGATTTGCCACTTGATATAAACATTTATACTTTGAAATTGTCTAAAACCTTTGAGTGAAATATGAAGGAACTAAACTGAATGAACAAAAGATTCATCTCGAGATGTTAACAAAATATTTGGGTTTTGTTGAAGAAACAGAGGAAGTAATTTGGAGGGAAATCTGTTTGCAGTGTCAGGTTTGTTGGGGTTTTTAAGTCATAGTGTTTCAGCTGCTACCGTTTGGTGGGGA